GAAGACCCGCGACAAGAATAAAAGAACATAAAGACAGTACAAGGCTTATATAAACACAAAATTCAGCCACTGCAGAACACACCATGTCAACTGGACACAAAATATACTGGAAAAAACTAGAATCATCGACACAGACAAATTTTGGAAGACAAGAAAATTAAAGGATCATTATATATTAACACAATTAAGCCTTCACTAAACAGAGATTCCGGATTATAGTTGAGTAACCTGAGGCTACTATTCGTTGAATCTATAGGAAATCTCTCCTCCAATCAAAAACAGGGATAAAACATACAATCATAACACACTCTCCACAATCCACCAGAATGCTACAAAGATCAACAACACCTTACACACACTGACCTGATGACGAAATGCGTTCTCTACACTTCTGTCTCTACAACAGACAGTTGCTGTCCATTCTACAAAGTTTCATAATGAATACTCTGCCAAAACAATCTATCAAAGAATCATCTCTCTTCCGTCCTCCTGAGGCAGCCAATCAGCGCACGGTGTCTGACACTTATGTTTGACAAGTTGGGCACAACTCACACGATTAGTCGTTTGTAACTTACATCAATTTTACACTTGCTTTACTCACAGTGTTTGCTGAGTGATTGTACAAAACAGTTTCATCTACAAGTGTCATATAAATGAATAATAACGTTACGTTTACTCGACAGGGTGTCAATCCTAGCAGTAAACTATATGATGGAAGTTGAAAATTTTGACTTATGGTCGTATCCTAGAAACCACGTGTAACAGTTCACTACCTAGAGGTCAAGTCATGGTTTAAAGGAAAGGATCGTAAGAAATTTTTATTTCTAAAAATTCTACAGCCGTTGAGGCACTCAACTCTCAATCTGCGACCCTCTAGTAGCCTTGCGTGAAACTCAACAAAGAAATAAACGAACTTAACCATTGTTTCTATCCCACATCATAAACGGCTAGATACCGTAGGTTTCTCTCATTTTTATGATGAACTCAAATGTACTTTTATTATTATTCTTATTTCTCTAACTGTCACAGATATGTTAAATGTGAACCCAGCAAAAACAACATCTGTTTACCATTCTAAAATTTCCGTCATGAAACAGAAATGTTCAGAAAAAACAAATCTGTAAAGTCGTTCTTCGTTTTTTGCTCATTTTGTTTAAAACAATTATTTTTTTAAAGAGATCTTGGTATGTATTACTTTACCTTGGCGCTGCTTGTTGTCATTAATAATATAGAAAGTAGGTATTTTCATCTCGAAATTAGCAACGATCTTGGGTAATTATAAGAAAAATGTAAAATATCTATCTGTTGCAGTGTAGTGATATATTGTTTCGATGTGTTTGTAGATGTTTAATTCACAGCTTCGCTCAGTAAATGTAATGTGCAAAGGCTTTTAGTACTTAAATTAGTTGAACGGTTTTCCATGTTTGTTTCTCTTTGTGTGGGTTTCAAATTACGATAGATTTCGGGCTATGTCACTAATGAGCACCAACAGTGAAGTACACTGGTGTGTGTATATAGGTTACAGCATATCTCAATATGAACTTTTATTTTGGGACTTCAGATCTTTTGTTGTTAACGCTTGAAGAGGAACCGTCACAAAATCTGCAGCGTTATGTATGTGTATCCTGATCAGAGATACACGCAGCACATAGGAACATCTTGTACTGCTGTGTTAAGTTCTACATGGAAGCATTTCAAAATAGTGGAGGTTTCCCTGGTCTCCATTAGAGTCCAAACGTTCTTCGAACGCCTAGAATGTGTTACATGTGAACTTTTATTAGCAATGATTCAAGAATAAACCACAAGTACTATGTGTTACATGTGAACTTGTATTAGCAATGATTCAAGAATAAGCCACAAGTACTCTGTGTTACATGTGAACTTGTATTAGCAACGATTCAAGAATAAGCCACTAGTACTATGTGTTACATGTGAACTTGTATTGGCAATGATTCAAGAATAAGCCACAAGTACTCTGTGTTACACGTGAACTTGTATTAGCAATTATTCAAGAATAAGCCACAAGTACTATGTGTTACATATGAACTTGTATTAGCAATGATTCAAGAATAAGCCACAAGTACTCTGTGTTACACGTGAACTTGTATTAGCAATTATTCAAGAATAAGCCACAAGTACTCTGTGTTACATGTGAACTTGTATTAGCAATTATTCAAGAATAAGCCACAAGTACTATGTGTTACATATGAACTTGTATTAGCAATGATTCAAGAATAAACCACAAGTACTAGGTTTTGATGATCTAAAGGTCTTCCTAATCCCTCTGTTATAGAGTAATCTCTCGAAAACTTCGTTATCTGCTCTCGATTTTAGTTACTTTTGTTATTTGGTCCTTGCTTCAACCTCTCTTACAATTGTCACATTATTTAGGTTTAAGATCAACTTGGTTAAATATACGTTGACGCACATTCTCAGATATAGTCGTATACACAGATAAGCCTTTCTTGCAATGTCATACCTATCTTTAGATACCATGCAAGCTAACTTTCTCCAACAAAAATAATACTAGTAAGCTCATCAGTCTACATAAAAACTCGTTATTTTAGTACTTATCGTATTTCAACCTCTCGTCGGAAGAATCCTAGAAAGTTGGTCGTGGTAACTAACAGATTTTTCTTTAAGTCTGGCGTTTATGCACGTGCCTAAATAGTTTCACCTCTAATAAAACACTGCAAGTATTAAAAACGTTTAGCATTGTAAATAGAATTATATTTTCTCCATAAATCAGAAGAACTTTATACGCCTTATATTCTCATCTTACCTCTAAATTTGAAAGTGAAACTGATACGTGTGTGTGTGTTTTTATTTTGATAAACTGAAATATATTAAAATTTCTACTTCTACAGTGGCTATTGTTATGGTTGACTGTACTACGGCTTGTTCAAGGGAAATAAACAATAGAAATCCGCACGTTTTCAGATCTATAGCTTATAAGACCTTCTACATAATCAGTAAAGCTGGTGGATTAATCACAGTTTATATTTATAATGTGTCGGATACCCTTGTCTCAACATCGATCGCGTTCACTGTGATAGCCATGCATTATTCCCCGAAACCGCAACTTTCATTTTAACAAACTTTTCCAAAGAAGGTCGAGATCAATCTCAGACCACACATGTCGACAAACATTCCAAAGACCCCCCACTGCACGCGGACGTCGGCTTGTAGTATCTCGTTTAAGCAAACCAAATAAACGGAAGTGATATGGAAAATCTGGTGTCTTCACATGAAATGAGGGAGGGAATGAACAGTAGATTCGTTCTCCATAGAAGGTGTAAGCCCTGCTGTGGACTTAGGCGTGTGACCAAATACTATATTATGATGTAGTCTTGCATTCTTGGCGCTCTGACAATATATTATAGGAAATTTAATCTCGTAAAATTAGTGCCAATATCGTTACAATAGTAACCACCTTTGTTTTCCTGTGCACCTTATGATGTTTGAATTTTCTGTTGCATGAAGCTCAACTAAGAACTTTGTTTACAAAGAGACAAATATAGTTAAAACCGCATAGGCGACGAAAATATCTAAATTAAATATAATTGGTTGACCAATCAACAAGTTTTTTTATATTTAATTTTAAGAATATTGTTTAGATAATTTGTGTCACAGTAGAAAATGTTTTATCTCCCAGTCAGTGGCCCGGCATGGCCAGGTGGTTAGGGTGCTCGACTCGCAATCTGCGGATCGCGAGTTCGAATCCCCGTCCCACCAAACATGCTCGCCCCTTTAGCCGTGAAGGCGTTATTATGTGACGGTCAATCCCACTATTCGTTGGTAAAATAGTAGTCCAAGAGTTGGCGGTGGGTGGTGATGACTAGCTGCTTTCCCTCTAGTGTTACACTGCTAAATTAGGGACGGCTAGCGCAGATAGCCTTCGTGTAGCTTTGCGCGAAATTCAAAACAAACCAAATCAAACCCAGTCAGTAGCTTCTAGCCGCAATCGTTCACGTTCAACCAGATCTCGTCCAGCGCAACGGGTATGTCTCATATGCAAATCATTTCTCGCACATTTTTTTTCTTGCATGTTTGGGAAGCAGCTTGTACACTCGTGCAGTTAATTTGGATACGTAAACTGTCTTTGAATTACTTGCTGGGTGAATAGAAGTTGCCAGTGGCAGTCATTGGTACTGTGGCATACTGCATAATTTCTCTACAACCTTACATAGGTAGATCAATTTTCCCTTATTTCTCTACAACCTTACGTAGGTAGATCAATCTTCCCTTGTCGTAAGTCCGTGAACTTATAACACTAAAAATCGATACCCGAGACGAGCAAGGCACAGGTAGCCCAAGGCGTATCTTTGTGCTTAGCAACAAACAAACAAACTACTCCTTGTCGATGGTATTCAACATGCTATAAATAGTCGTCTTTTAGAAATAGTTGTGACTTAACCTTTGGATGTCCTTTATTTTGCTATACGAATATCCTTCATCAGAAAGAGCTGTGACGTACGTATCTCGGTCTAACTCTACCATAGAGCATTGTACTGTCGAATGATAGGAAGGTAGATGTAAATCACATACTTAGGTGTTAACAGTGCCACCTGTGGTGAAACTTTGTGCATTGCATGGACTCGCTACTTTTATAGTTTATACACAAACTATTCTTATAAATATCAATTAACCTTCTGTAGTCTGTAAATACAAGAATTGCTGTGTATGATTCTAATGACACACAGTGTTTTTTAACTACTCTGATTTTTTTATAAGATGTAGCAACAAACTGATTGTTCTTACTCCACACCTGTTCCATGACAACTCATCCACCATTATATAATTGTTCTAGAACTTCAACAGTATGTACTCGTCAGTGACGAAGTTTGGCTCTACTTTTGTCTTAATTCGTGATTGTCTAATGCACTTGAAAGGTTTTACTAGGTTTTGTTTAAAACATATATTAAAAAATATTTCTAGATATCCAAGCTTTAACCAACATCCTCTATGTATGATTTTCTTTTATTTCTTCTTACACAAAGTTTCACCCATGATCTGGACAAACGAACAAGTATTAGGAACAAGTGTTGGGACGTCTGTTACTCTGGAATGTCATCTAGAATCCTATCCCCCATCGGTGACCTACTGGACGAGGAATGAAGACACCTTGGTTATCTCAGATTCAAAGCGGGATGTGATGACGGTTGAAATAGGCCTGTACAAGGTTGAAATGAGGTTAAGGATACGAAATGTGGACCACGAGGATTTTGGACCTTATAGATGTCATGCTAAAAACTCTTTGGGCGAAGTTGAAGCCTCAATTAAGTTACATGGTGAGTTTCTAACTATCTAAGTCAGAAAGTACTACATATTTAAAGTGTAACAGTAGATAGGTTCGCATCATTGCATCTCATTTACATTCAGTTATATGTTTCCAACCCTACTTAGGTTTAGTTGTGTGTTTCCAATCCTACTTACGTTTATTTGTATGTTTCCAGGCCTACTTAGGTTTATTTGTGTTTCCAACCCTACTTAGATTCAGTTGTGTGTTTCCAACCCTACTTAGGTTTAGTTGTGTGTTTCCAGCCCTACTTAGGTTTATTTGTATGTTTCCAGGCCTACTTAGGTTTATTTGTGTTTCCAACCCTACTTAGGTTTACTTGTGGGTTTCCAACCCTACTTAGGTTTAGTTGTGTGTTTCCAGCCCTACTTAGGTTTAGTTGTGGGTTTCCAACCCTACTTAGGTTTAGTTGTGTGTTTCTAACCCTATTTAGATTCAGTTTTATGTTTCCAACACTACTTAGATTCAGTTGTGTGATTCCAACTCTACTTAGATTCAGTTGTGTTTTTCAAACTCTACTTAGGTTTATTTGTATGTTTCCAACCCTACTTAGATTCAGATGTGTGTTTCCAAACCTACTTAGGTTTAGTTGTGTGTTTCCACCTCTACTTAGGTTTATTTGTATGTTTCCAGGCCTACTTAGGTTTATTTGTGTTTCCAACCCTACTTAGGTTTAGTTGTCTGTTTCCGACCCTACTTAGGTTTAGTTGTGTGTTTCTAACCCTACTTAGATTCAGTTGTGTGTTTCCAACCCTACTTAGATTCAGTTGTATGTTTCCAACTCTACTCAGGTTTATCTGTGTGTTTCCAGGCCTACTTAGGTTTATTTGTGTGTTTCCAACCCTACTTAGGTTTAGTTGTATGTTTCCAACCCTACAGTTGTCCCATAGAGGAAAAGTTAATCTTGTAGGCATTCTTTTTAACACATTTATGATACAATTGGTACACGGTTTTGAATGACTGTATAATTTATTTCCTAATTTTTATCATTCAATCAAGAATTTAAGCTAATATTAACACAGTCAAATAAAACTGTCTTACTTCCCATTTTTATCATAAATGCGTTGATTGTGTTAAAGACACCAGATTAAGAACTTACGGTAGTGTTGTAGTGACTTGATATCAATCATTGTCGATCACCAAAGCAATTAATAATTAATAACTTTTTACTAGATATTAATTAGTTTTGTCCTTTACGTTTCTACTACTAATCTGCTGTAGTTTTGAGGGACTCTAAAGATGGAGTAATTGTGTGTTAGTAAAAACTGGTATTCGATTCTGAGTATTATTGATGGAAGTCTGGAAATCAAATTACTTTCAACGTCATGTTAAGCTTTTGTTACCATATAAACACCTAAACACTTTAGCGGATGTGTTAAACAAGACTGTTTTTTTTTCATTATTTAAGATTCTTTATGAATGAAGATGCTTTAAGGTTAAGAAGATATTGGGAAGAAGAAATATCTAAACCCTAAATTAATTTTATCACAAGTAACGGAATCTGCTAGCCAAATGTTAGATGGCATTGCAACCTTACTTTAAGCTAAGCATGCTTCAGAAACACACTTTTTTACAGCTTACACTGCAATTACATCTTATACAGTGGAAAATAAAACACCACGCTAGATGAACTGCGCATTGACTAACGTACTGCGACAGGACTCCACAATTAGAGGAAAGAGAGCCTGTGCTTTTCATGGTGCTAAATATATGGTAAAATAAAATCAGAATTCTCTAAATTAACATATGTGATTTAAAACCCTTCTCCTCATAATATCGCTATATGTATATAAATCCTCCTGGTGTCTCAATGGTGAGTCTGTATGTCTATAACCCAAAAAACTAAGATTCGAAACCTTCGATGAATGAAGTACAGATAGCCTATTGTGTAGCTTTGTACAAACAACAAAACAAAACATGTGTATTATAAATAACAACAATAAACAAAGCTAACTAAATAGCTTTTTCCCATACTTATTTCAATGTGTTACTGGACATGTAAAGACATTGTCCTATACTTGACTACATCACTGTATAACATACAATGTCCTATGTTTGACTACATCATTGTATAAAATACACTGTCCTATGTTTGACTACATCATTGTATACCATACACTGTACTGTGTTTGACTACATCACTGTATAACACACACCGTCCTATAGTTGACTACATCACTCTATAACATACACTGTCCTATAGTTGACTACATCACTGTATAACATACACTGTACTATACTTGACTACATCACTGTATAACATACACTGTATTATACGTGACTACATCACAGTATAAAATACACTGTACTATACTTGACTACATCCTTGTATAACATACACTGTACTATACTTGACTACATCCTTGTATAACATACACTGTACTATACTTGACTACATCCTTGTATAACATACACTGTACTATACTTGACTACATCCTTGTATAACATACACTGTACTATACTTGACTACATCCTTGTATAACATACACTGTACTATACTTGACTACATACTTGTAAACATACACTGTACTATACTTGACTACATCCTTGTATAACATACACTGTACTATACTTGACTACATCCTTGTACAACATACACTGCACTATACTTGACTACATCCTTGTACAACATACACTGCACTATACTTGACTACATCCTTGTACAACATACACTGCACTATACTTGACTACATCCTTGTATAACATACACTGTACTATACTTGACTACATCCTTGTACAACATACACTGCACTATACTTGACTACATCCTTGTATAACATACATTGTACTATACTTGACTACATCCTTGTACAACATACACTGCACTATACTTGACTATGGTTACATATATTGTTATAAGAGTCAACTATCCCAGATTATTCTTTAGGGTGTATTAAGTAACCCTTTTCACTACTATTTCGTACCTTGGCTTATCAGTGACCTCCTGGTATATTTTATTACCTCCTATATACGTAATGTATTTTAACGTAATAGTGCATTTCCTGGCTTCTATACAATTGTTTTCTCGTTTCAGAGATCATTTGTTTTATTTTATTACACCTGCATACAAATCTAGGTCTATGAGTGGTTCATTTGTTTCCGTGATTACACCTGCATACAAATCTAGGTATATGAGTGGTTCATTTGTTTCCGTAATTATTCCTATATATAAATTTAGTTGTATTAGTGCTCACTTGATTACGTCATTTTTCCTATATACAAATTTTCATGTATGAGTAGTTTTGTTTTTAACGTGACTATGTTTGTATACAAATCTTCATGCATGAGTATTTCTGTTTTAACGTGATTATGTTTGTATACAAATCTTCATGCATGAGTAGTTCTGTTTTTTAACGTGATTATGTTTGTATACCAATCTTCATGTATGAGTAGTTCTGTTTTTTAACGTGATTATGTTTGTATACCAATCTTCATGTATGAGTAGTTCTGTTTTTTAACGTGATTATGTTTGTATGCCAATCTTCATGTATGAGTAGTTCTGTTTTTTAACGTGATTATGTTTGTATACCAATCTTCATGTATGAGTAGTTCTGTTTTTTAACGTGATTATGTTTGTATACCAATCTTCATGTATGAGTAGTTCTGTTTTTTAACGTGATTATGCCTGTATACAAATCTTATTTTATGAGCGAGTTTTTTTTGCTTATTATAAGTACGCTTTCAGTATTGTTTCTGTATGTTGCTCCATGACTTCACTTCAATAAATCCATGTACTTTTATGACTGATTACTTAATGAATTATGCTTTGTTCCCTTGTATTCCAAGCAACTTTATTTTTTATTTAACTATTCTTACTTAAATTCTTGTATGAGTGATTGTAGTATTTTTACGTAAATAACCAGCTCTATGGTATACCCCGTACCTGAGGAAAAAAGTGCTTTAAGACAGAACAAAACATTGCCTGGTTGTAGACATATATTTTCATTTGAAAGATGTAATTTAATTTCATTATATTACTATTCGTTGTACGGGGAAAACTGTATTTTGTTTATAATAGTCATTTAATTATTTTATACTAAATTAGATATATGCGTGTAACACGTACAAAAGAACATTTATTTAAGATATTACAATTAAACCAACAAAAAAAAAGCTTGTATCTCGTTGATAATTTAACTCAATCCCCTGCGGTTATATGACGTGGTCATGCCAATCACAGGTTAACGTTTATGGTGACACTATGGTGAAACCTACTCGTCTTGGAATAAATGAGCAATTAATTAATTCGCAATTTTAAGCTATTCAAATACTGATAAATACAGTCAAAACTATTCGTATTTATACTTTGTCCTATGACCAGTGAATAACTGGGTTTGTTAACGGGCGTACTTATTATTCCACGTGTTGAACAAGAATAACATAAACGAGTATTCAGAATAAAAACTTAAAATAAAAATTATCGATAAGCGTATAAGGTAAGCGTCATCAAGATGTTGCGTAATAGTATCGGTAACATAGTTCCTATGTGTTTTGTATAAACTGACGCATTATTAATGTGAAAAAAACGATATCATAACAGGTGTTATAAACTGACGCACTATTAATGTGAAAAGAACGATATCATAACACGTGTTATAAACTGACGTACTATTAATGTGAAACGAACGATATCATAACACGTGTTATAAACTGACGCACTATTAATGTGAAAAGAACGATATCATAACAGGTATTATAAACTGACGCATTATTACTGTGAAACAAACGATTTCATAACACGTGTTATAAATTGACGTACTGTTAATGTGAAACGAACGATATCATAACAGGTGTTATAAACTGACGCACTATTAATGTGAAAAGAACGATATCATAACACGTGTTATAAACTGACGTACTATTAATGTGAAACGAACGATATCATAACACGTGTTATAAATTGACGCACTATTATTGTGAAATGAACGATATCATAACAAGTGTTCTTCAACAATATACAGAACATTTGTTTCATGGTCATTAACAACAAAA